CTGGTAAGCTGAGTGTGTGGAGTTAGTGTTGATGAAGCTGTGTGTAAATGGATGAAATGCTGTAGTTTGTCTCTGTGTTGAGGTGGATCAGTGATCCTGCAGAGTCCTGTCCTCCCTGTGATGGAGGGAAATGACGTCACTCTGCTCTGTAAAACAAAGACCACTCCCTCCAACCTCCCAGCTGCTTTCTATAAAGATGGCTCCCTCATCAGGAAGCAGCCTACAGGTCACATGACCATCCAGCATGTTTCCAGGTCTGATGAAGGCCTCTACAAGTGTGACATCAGCGGTCATGGAGAGTCTCCATCCAGCTGGATCACTGTCACAGGTGACACACTCACCTGTCTGTGTTTCTGCAGCTTTCAGCATTCTCCAAAAGTTGGTTCTGTTCATCTGGATGTAGCGTTTTCATTGGGAGAAACGTTTCGTCACTCATCCAAGTGACTTCTTCAGTCTCAGCTGACGGCAGGTTTCCCCAAACTCATAAACAGTACATTTGCATAATGAATGAAACCAGCCCACTGAAGGAACAATGGGCTGGGAGGTCAGTTCCTTGATCATTAATATGCAAATTCTCATGACCATTGATCAACAACCACTGATCAATGGTCATGAGTACCATTCACAGAGAGTTGGGGAATGGCTGCAATCACAGCATTGTAAGATGGAGAAAGATGTACCCTTAGGCCCCCTCCTCGATTCAGAGATGGTCTTTCTCTTTTCACGTAAATGGCCTCCTTGACTCTGCACTCAAACCAGCGTTCCTCCCTGTCCAGGATGTTTACATCCTCATCATTGAAAGAGTGTCCACTGGCCTGTAGGTGTAAATAGACTGCAGAGTCCTGGCCTGACGAGGTAGCTCTTCTGTGTTGTGCCATCCGCTTTGCCAGAGGTTGTTTGGTTTCCCCGATGTATAAATCCTGGCAATCCTCACTTAACAGCGTACACTATGTTACTCTGTGTGTCGGGGGACCCGATCCTTGGGGTGGACCAATTTTTGGCGCAGCGTGTTTTGGGGTTTAAAAGCCACAGAGACCTGGTGTTTAGAAAAAATGCGTCTCAACTGCTCCGATACTCCTGACACGTATGGGATCACTACAGGTTTTCGCTTGGGCAGCGGTTGTCCTTCTCTCCTGGATCGGCTGGAGCTTTCTTTAGGTGCCTTCCCAGCTTTGACAAAAGTCCAGCTGGGATAACCACATTTACTCAGGGCCTTCTTGAAGATGTTCTTCTGCTCCCTGGCCGCTGTGTCAGTGGGGATGGTGTTCGCTCTGTGTTGTAGCGTCCTGACTGAGCACCCAGTTTGTGCTCCAGTGGATGATGAGAGTCAAACCTTAAATACTGATCCGTATGTGTAGGTTTACGGTACACGTCAGCTTTTAGATGTCCCCCATTACTGATGGAAATCTCACAGTCTAAGAAGGCTAACCTGCCACTTTTCATATCCTCCCTGGTGAATTTGATGTGTCGGTCCACCGAGTTAATGTGATCCGTGAATTGTGGTACGTCCTGAGATTTGATTTTCACCCAGGTGTCATCCACATATCTGAACCAATGGCTTGGTGGTGTTCCAGGGTAGGATAGCAAAGCCCTCTTTTCCACTTCTTCCATGTACAAATTGGCCACAATGGGTGAAACTGGAGAGCCCATGGCACACCCACGTTTCTGCCTGTTTCTGTAGAACTGACCCTTGTATGTAAGTAGGTGGAATGAAGACACAGTTCCAGGAGCAAACACACTTGGTCGATGCTGAGAGTGGTCCTGTTGCTGAGGTTGGGGTCATCCTGTAATCTCTTACGGACTACCTCCAACGCTTCTGTGACTGGGATACAAGTGAAGAGACTTGGAGATGTTATAGGTGACTGAGTTGATCACACAGACAATCGGTCTCATGACGTTTCTCCCACTAAAAACGCTACGTGCCGATGAACAGAATCAATATTTGGAGATTTAATTACCTGAATGATTGAGCATGTATCAAGAGGTTTCAACATTCACAATGTGACGAGAACTTAATGAGTGCGTTTGCTTTATTTTAGACAAACGCACCACCACACCTACATCCATCTCTCCTCCATCATTCTCTCCTCCTGTTCTCTCTGTGTTGTCATCTGTTGGATCAGTCTACTGGTGTTATTGGTTCTTCTGGTGAGACAAGATGTTGACAGGAAACCTGAAGGTGAGACTCACATCATCATTAACGGGTCTGGGTTGATGCTGATGAAGGAGTCAGTTCAACAGTGCAGCTCGCTGACTTGCTGTAGCAGGAGTAAAATATCTCAGAATTGTTCGATTTAAGTGAGGCCCATCTGCATTTTCTTAGAACCACATGTGGTCGTGAACAATGATGGAAATTCCTCTTTTATGAACCATTCTAGACAACTTCAGCTTGTTTCCTACTCTGTTAGCATCTGTGATGCCGGATGGCAGCTGTTGCATGTAGTTTGCTAGCTGTCATATAGACTTGAAATTATTAACCTTTAATATCATGATTTTTGGGCCACATCTGGATCACAGAGTATTTGGAAGTACAGTAGCGGCACATATGAGGCCCAGATGTCGTTCACAAACAAGTGTGAACGACATCTGGGCCTGAGGCACATAAAGAGACCCAAGATCATCAAATGTGTGTTTTCAGCCTCTCAAACGGTCCTTTAGTTACACCATCATTTCTAAAGTTCTGCATGTTAAACAGCAGCAACATCCTGCTGACGACCGCAGTTAGTCTGATGCTGGTGAGAGTTCTCACTGCAGCATGTTTTTCCAGCTTGTGGTGAGGCGTCTCAGTCTGCACTGAAAGAAGATGGCAGCTTTGTGGACGCTACCTTCCTGTTCACACAAACACCTCGCCGTTCTGTCCGTCATTCATTGGTTCACAGCAGAAGTGCTGACAGCTGGGAAAAAAACACAAGGTACTTCACCACAGCTGCGACACAGCTGTGGTGAAGTACCTTCATGCTAATGTGTCAAACACCAACATGGTGCATAACACTTTCACAACATAACAACTACGCTGTGGAAACACAGTGTGTGTCTGTCACGCTACTCTAATTTCTCAACATCTGCAACACAGTGAACATTTAACACATTTTAACCACAGTGGAAGCTTCTGATCACAACAGAGGCTGTGTGTGTTTGATACAACATCTCTCTGTTGTCAGAAAACCAGCTGCTCTTTTAAAATAAACTTACTGGCATTGTGATGCAACATTGCAAATAATAATAACACGTAACACCTGACTCATGTACCTTTCAGGGCCTGGGTCTCTACATTGATGTTTATTTAAAATATCTCCTTGTTGATGCTTGTAACCCAAAATATGAGTTATGTAAATAATCCACAAGACAAATGTATCATTTCCAGTGTAACAGTTTCCATTTGTTAACGATTTTAATAAAAACTAAATAATGGTTCATGTTTTAAGTCACATTTAAGTCACATTGTTCTGACTGTGAGAAAGAAGAGAGAGAGAGAAGGTGGAAGCAGGAAAAAATGACTTTTCATGCATTTCTTGAGCTAATGGTTATAGATTTGTGAGCTCCACATTTGAGATTTTGAATTTGAAGAAGCAGTTAACATGTGAGCAGTATGGAAGCTCTGTGATTTGTACCTGAGGAGCTGGTTCCCAGTAAAGTCTGAACTGGGACTGTGTGTGATGCAGAGAGGTGGAGATTGAAGGTCTTGATTGAACTACAAAGCTTGTAATCATGTGTTTGAACTGTGTGTGTTTGTGTTCAGACTTTAAACCAGAGCCAGACGTCGTCTACTCTTCACTGAAGGAGTCCACCAGTCAAACCACTGACATCCAGCTGCTGGTCTCTAACTGGGCCCCGCAGCACTTCGGACCAGAGGACATCCACATATAATCCATGACATTAGAAATAAATCTGAATCAGATAAAATATAATTGAATATGTTTCCATTGAATAGAATCTAACACCGACTTTCAGTTGATTAGTTGTCTTTTCTCTACCAGCCTTCAGTCTTTCGTTAATTTCTCTCGTTAAACCCTCTGGATTTTCTACTTTTGCCTTTTGGTAAAAGCACCATTTTAAAAGTCTTACATTAAAAAAGTCATTTGTTATTATAATGCTGCGTCCTCTGGAGTTTTACTGTTTTCTATATTTTCTTTATCTTTGTTGGATACTACATTTGGGGACCTGGTTTGTCTGTTGCTTGTCTGCAGTTTCAAAAAGGTGCCAGATGGAAAATTTGACTTGTTCGAGGTCAACTAACCAATAAATGTATCACAGGTTCTTTATTAACTAGCTGACAAAAAAGGGGACAGTACAGTGTGTTTTTATTCTTAGGAAATATTTTACTTATTTAGTGATACAGGAGAATAAAAAATATCACAACATGAAAACGGAGAGCTGAAGAGAGAAAGTAGAGCTCCTCTTACTAACAGTGATCCCAGGAATAACATTTGAAATCTGCTGCCATCTACTGGTAATACTGGGTGTTACAGCATAGCAGCTTCTTTCTAAATGACAGCAGTCATTTATAGCTTGAGCTTTCAGTGCCCACCTGGTGACCCTAGCGGTAAGGTTAGGATTTGTTTGCATTTTAAACACATGCTAAATGATGGTTTCATTCCTTACAAACCATCTGTGAGCTTAACCTGATCCACTAACAGGCTGGCTGGATAAAAGTTGCTCTGGTAAAGAGCACGAGGAATACTCTCTGACCTGCTGCAGAGACCTGGCTGAAGAAGCAGAAAGCAAAAACCAGAAAAAAATCAGCCAAAAAAACGATAGTTCCTGAAAGTAGCACTGAAGGCCAAATTAAAGACATTATGTTTGAATTAGCATTTGTAATTAGTTTTAGATCTGCTCAAAGAGAAATTCAATCAGGTCTTCTGCAAAGTTTAGTCCTTCGTTCTTATTAGCCCTGCTTCACGAGTATCTACTCGGGTCAGATTGACTTGGTTTTTAAGGTTTTCCATTAGGGGGTAGTACCTAATAACAGGTAATTTTTTTATACTGGACAGGGTTCAAAGCAATCGGAGGCAATCAGGGGTCCTCTATTTTTGTGTTGTGTTTGTGTCACATACGTAAATGGACTTTGGGCAACATTTCTAACAACCCCACATATTAGGAGGTATAAATTCTAATGGAAAATGGACAAAACTGAGTAGATTCAATTAGGTACAAGTGGGAAAAAGGTTCTAACTGTTCAACCTTTACATACATTTGCTTGATATTATTATTATTATCATCATAAATAATTTTCATGTATTTTACCACACTTATGCAGTTTTACTCACCATTGTCCTCTGATAATATAACAAACCAATGAGCTGGTTGTCTGAAAGAAATGGAACTGAAAAGAGACGAGACAGACATATTTGTGATTGGTCCAAAAGTCTGAGACACAAAATGTGGTCATATTTATCTCTGTCTCTGAGTCACAGTGAGGAAGTCAGTCACGGTTTTGTTTTGTTAAGGGTATCAGAGCTGCTTTCTATCACTTAAAAAAATTAAAGAAATCTACCAATATATAATTCCCCAGTTTTGGTGAGAGAAATCCCGGGATTTGATTTAAATGATACTGAGCACTAATTAGCAGGTATCTGAGTCTGTGTGATGCTCCCATACAGTCTGTGGATGAGCCTTTCTTTTGTCTGGCAGTTTTAGAAGCAGAATCATCGTCTGAATGCTTTGTTGTGCCAAACACAAAGAGATGCATTATGGACTCTCTGTAGGCTCCTCTCTTTTTTATCTTTTTGTTTTATTTATTTATTTTATTACTATTTAATTCATTATCACTTCCAGAGCAAAAAAGTGGATGAAAGCCACTTTGGGAGAAGACAGGAGAAGAACGCTAAGATATTAGAAGTGACAGAGAGAATGTGAGTGTCTGTGTTGAGCATTTGTCATGAAAATGAACTTGGAAATGAGGTTGAGGCTGTTCATGGACCCCCGAGAGTGCTGAAGACCTAGAGTCACACATCTCAATCACAACTGTTCGTCCATCCCAGCAGGGGAAAGAGGGAGGGCCCAGATGGAGCTCCCCATGCCAAGTGCAGGAGTGCCAGTCACCCACACAAAAACTGCACAAGGACAGATGTACTGAGAGACTCCTGCACTGATGTTTCATAGGAAAGTCCAAACAGCCTCACTGCTTCTCCATGAAGAACAAAGATTTGCTCTCTGTGGCTCCAACACAACTTAAAGACAATCAAAGGTGGACAAAGTTCTCCAGAACAGCTGTACCTTTATTCATTAGAACAAGTATATTGCAGTTCACTGAGAGACAGACAGATTTTGTCTTTACATATCTACCTGTTTCCTTGGAAACAAATCCAATTGCTGTAACTGTGACACTTGCTTTGCATATACAGTAGATCTTTATCAAAAAATGAGGATGTGAGCTTTGATGTCACACACAGTGGTGTTGAAGAGGAACAGGAATCAGTTCGTTCAGCTTTTTAGTACAAAGGTCAGTTCACCCACAGATTACTTTTACAAAAAAGAAATTGCTTGTGTTGAACAAACCTTAATCGGGCCCCTTTTAACCGACAGAGAAACTCTCACTTTTTATCTTTATATGGATTTTTGTTCCATCCTGATGATCAGAAGAGTGTTTGAGGATTTAAGATTTCTTAAGAATAACTAAATAGTAAGTGTTAGCTGTCTTTTTTAAAATCATTTTCAGCCTTTTTATGTAGTAAAAAGTTCATGTTGTAATGGTTACAGTTTGGTTAACATCCACCCACAAAAATGTTTTAACAGAACAACTGATTCAAAACAGTCACACCTAACACTACCGTTTCTCTCCAATTCCCCCTCAACCAGCCTAGAGAAGTTGACATGATTTAAATGTAGATAAAAGGCTCGTCTGTTTACATCTCTCCCTCACAGAAGGCTTCTCTGCAGAGCATCAAATCTGCATGGCAAAGTGACACACTTTAGGTGATCTTCATCCTTGGGAAAAGTGGTGTCAACTATTTCCCAGTCTCCTAGTATTTGTGCCTCACACAGAATCACAATTCCATCGCTGGACTTCCTCTGCGCTGTCACTTTTGGAGCTTGGCACGCTCTCTCCATCCCTCAGGTTCTCATGTTCCAACGCTGCTGAAGATTTAAGGCAGAGCACGTCGTACACCTTAGTTGTCTTCCTCAGCGTCAACATTGAATCTTTCATTTTATTTAAATTTTGCTGTGGGAAGTCTCCTCTTGATCTCCTGGAAGCTCAGTAGCACAGCTCTCTGTGTGATGTCTGCTGTGCTGAAGATGATCTCTGATCCTCCTGAAGCCTCTCTCCTGGCCTCAGCTCCCATCTTGTGGACGATCCTCTCAGCCACTCCTTCTCGTCATGGCACCTCACGACATCTACAAATTGAAAAATTAACACTCCTCTCGTCACACGGCTTTCGCCATGTGTCAACTCCCCAATGAGACATGCACAAGAATGTTGCACATTCTCTCTAAAACAATCTCCAGGGTTTCCCACTTGGAGCAGCCATACTCCAACCTGTAACCCTGTGTAAAAACATTAATCAGCAGTCACATGTTAAGCTTGTTTAACTCCCAGCTCCACCTGGAGCCTGTAACCTGGAAGACAAATCTGTTAAATCAAACTTCACATTTGCAACCAACTATAGATCATGAGAGTGATAAAGTACTCAGCATAACAGACAAGTATCATGTGCAGGTTTTCTCCAATCATTAAATCACTATTATTACCATAATTTGTCCCAAATCATGAATCATCCCAATTTATTCCACAATTTAATCTGTGACTTTCCTTAAACAATGTCACTCCACCCATTTTATCACTATGAGCTCAATAGCCCATCTTCAACTATTCCATAAACACTGCATCCCTTATTTGTTTTTCTCATGTCACTTGTCCACTTCTGCTGAATCCTCCACATGCACTCTTAAAGAAAACAAACATTAGCAACACACATGGATCGTGTGGTGGGCAGGCGTCGGCCATCCACATTCCAGAGGTGCCATAAAAAGACCATAAAGTTAAGCCATCGCTGTAAAAAGAATGACACTGAGTTTCAACACAGAAATTTCTCACATGTTATTCACATCTCAAAGTAACCTTCACATTTTCCCAACAACACAGTGTAACAGCATCACCAACTCATAACCTGTAGTAGAGAAACAAACATCCACCAATTGTTCTGTTAGAAATCACATCATCAAATCACATGAAGAACTGTAATGCTGTAGAAAAGAGAATGCAAATGTTAGCGCTGCGCAGGTGTGTACACACTTTCTCACAGTAACTTCTGTGAGCAACACAAGCCCATGAATAACACACCCCTGATAGATTCACAAACACAGAAAATGGCATTTAAAAGGTTAAATCATCACGCAACCTCAGATGTTGCTGTCATCTTTCTGCTCCTGTAAAAGGAAACACATAAATTCATCCACCCTTTTGTCCTGTCTAGGTGGAGGTTAACCTTGAGTCGTGGTAAGTCTTGTCAGCTTTTACCAGTCAGTCAGTTTGTTTTTATTTTATTTCCATTCATCCATTCTTTCTTTCTTTGCTGATAGTGGAACCTATCGTCGCATTTAGTTTCCACTCTCAGCAAAATGACGTCATTTCAAAAAGAAAAAGAAGAACTTTAGATCGGATTACCTCGCTGAATCCTTTTTAGGCTGGGACTCTCATTTTCTAATTGTCCCAAATAAGTGGCTTTCTCCTGAGCCCATTTTAATGTGGAGAAACTCACTTGCAACAATTTTCTCGACGACGTGTAGCGCTTTTAATTCCCGACGTGCAGATCTGCTTAAAGAAAAGAAATTCACAAACAAAAATCAGTGCACTGTTCAAAAAATAAAAATAAAATGAAAAATGACAAATAAAACTGAAAAACAAAATAAAAAGAAAAAATACAGAAGCCCGGTCTTAAGGCTTGTCACAAAATGTTCTTTCTCTTATAGGTGAGAAAACACCCATACTTCAGTAACAAAACAAAACAAAAAACAAAACAAAAACAAAAAATCTGCTAGTTTCACTCATTTAGTTTCACTCATTTAAACTCTGGCTGCAGGATTCTGTTCACCCCTGCTATCATGTTCCCCAAAATAATACTAATTCAGTCGTCTATGTATCAGTTCTCAACCCACTCAATAAACCAGACAGGATGATGGTAACAGTATTACCTACTTAAAATTGTGTTTGATCTTCATTACGTGTGTGTGTGTGTGTGTGTGTGTGTGTGTGTGTGTGTGTGTGTGTTGTGTTAATTGTGTTTGTGTGTGTGTGTCTGTGTGTGTGTGTTAGTCGGGTTAATACATTTTCTGTTTTTATGTATCCTTTCATGTACCTTCCCCCTTTTTTCTGAAACAAAACTCCGTTCACTCCAAATTTTGTTTCAGAAACATCTAAATGAAAAACTCTGTCATAGTCAGGCACAGCTAAACCCCAAATGCTTGCAGGTTACCATCGGCAACCACACTGTGTTGTCAACCCCTTCTACAAATGCCCTCTTTTAATGTGTAACACTTTGTGTATGATTTTTTTTATCTCTGGTGCATATTATCTGTATGTGTCGTGTCACTTTCCATTTTTTCTAACAGTACACTTGCATACCTCAGTGCTTGTCTTCCTCCCCCTTTTGTGGTGGTCTGGACACTGTGTCAATCCTCCACTTCCAGGCAGTCGCTTGTCTCCCCGGATTCCTTAACCTAATTTGATTCCCCACACTAAAACAGCAGCCTCAGTCCTCTTCTGCTCCTTTTCTTCTCTCCCACTTTTCAGTCCAATGGCAGTCAGTTTTTTCAGCTTTGTCCCGTGTCTCTCTTTGTCCCACTGTCTCTTTCATTGCCATCTCCTCCAAACATGGCAAATGTCAAGCTCAGACAGTCTTCTCAAAAGTCCTTCACACACAGTGAGGTTGCAGCTTGCTGGAAACGCATCTCCATCCATCCAATCTAGATGGTGGTTCTTCTCTTTCTGATGCCGTTTGCCCACAGCGCTGCTGGACCTCTCTGCTCAGAACTCTGGTATTGTCTCTTGGACTCCTGTCCACTGTTGATGTTCATGCTCGTGCTTCTGAAACTGCACTCGTGTGTCTTCAGGGAGAGATTAGCTTCCTTGGAGCTTGCTTGTTCAGGATGAGGACGGGAAGCTGCAAAACAATTCAGCCAAAAAATTCTGGCTGGGTGTTTCTATTTTTTCTAATGATTTTAACCTATAATTTTCTTCCGACTGCTGCCCGTGGAGAATTGATCCAGGTCCGTTCCCCACCTGTAATCGACAGACTGAGAGACTTTCATTATTCACTGTGACTGCATATGTTTTCATCACTCCTAAAGCAACACATCTCTGCTTATTTTGTTTTGAACTCTACTGACTTTAAACCCCAAAAATGAAATTTTTATTTGGTCTTAACCGCAAACACAAAATCTTCTTGATGTTGTTGTTAATTATTTTCAACTTATTTATCATTAGTCTAACACTGATCCACTCTTTAATTTGCTTTATTTACTTTAGTTCATTTTCTCCTCTTTGATCACTACGATTTCTTAACTCTTATTATTTCACAGAAAATCAACTAATCTACTTTGTCTCCCTCTTTGTCATCAAGGAATTCACACACACTCACAGGCTGGTCACTCGCCCCCACCTTTTCTTTCTCTCTCACACACACGCACATTTTACTCTTCGTTCGTTCCACCTGTGAACCCGCCCCTCGAGGCTGGCTCACACACACCTCATGCTTCTCGCAGTCCCATTCAAACTTTCTGCGAGACACTTCTGCTGATTCAGGACAACGCCCTAATCAGCACACAGAGCGGGTGCCGTCCGCTCTCGTACACTTCACAAATCATTCAAACTGCGCCACGGACTCGATACCGTGGCTACTCTTCCCCAAAAAATATAAAACCAAATTAAACCCCCAATTGACTTCACAGCTTGCAACAATTCGCGACACGGCCTCCTGCCGCGATTTCTGCACACCACAAACACACACTTTTAGACACGAATTCTTTTTGTTACTTTAATTGACTCCCGTACTTCAGACGAGACGCCGACTCTAACGGCGCTTTCACACACACTACACCGTCCTCCTTCTGCATCAGGCACTGGTTCAACTCAGCTCGGAATCTAACCGGCGAAAGCAACCGATCCTGCTTTTATGCATACTTCAGACTGTGACAGGACAAAAAGTCTCTTGCTTTAACGCACTGAGACGGACGCTAGCCGCCTTTTATTTTTTTCTACTGAGTGAATTTACACTGGGATACGTTCAACTTACCGAACAGATAATTTAGGCTTTAAACAATATGCACGGTTTCGGCACCAAAACTGTCGGGAAATCAGTTTTACCCCGGTTCTTTTTATTCCTCGAGCATCCAGAGATGGCACCGGACTCAGTAGTCATTTTCACAAAACTTTTATTCATCTTTATTTCTTCATTCATCTTCATTTAAGCATGCACTTCTAGAAGGGAAGACGAGGCCGGTGTGTCCCTCTGCAAAATCTTCACCCCTTTGTTAGTTACAGCCAGCTTTATAGAAGCACCCCATCATAAAACCCCCCCCCTACGGTGTGCTGCAAACTCTGTGTCTGTGTCTATGTGCACGAGCAGTAAGAAGTGTGCGTGTGGATGTGTGTGCGTGACAGTTAAAACACTGTGGGTGTAGGTAACTCCCTAGAGGTCATAAAACCCCTCTCCCTTCCAGACCACAGTTATCCAGTTATAAATGTTGAGACCCCCACCCTAAAACATCCTCTGGGGAATTTCCACTCAGTGGGGGAGAGGCCTCCTACAATCTACTCCTAAGTTCACAACACAGTGAGGCCTTTATTACTTTAAGGGCAGTATCAATGTCTCTACAATAGTTCTACATTCTATGATAACACATTTCTAAACTCTAAAATAAGCTAAATATTCTACATAACGCAGTAACGTAGATGCTTAAGGGAAAGTAACAGTAATCTAATTACCTTTTTTTGCAATAGTAATCCCTTATTTTGCTCGTTCCTTGAAAAAAGTAATCAGATTACAGTAACGCATTACTGCCCAACTCTGGTGAGAGAAGGATCAGCTTTATTTCAGATTTGAATTTCAGTTTGTGATAATTCTGTTCTGTTTGTGATTACAGGAGCTGCCCTCAGATTCAGACCTCAGCACCACCCAGTGACAGCAGACAGATCATCCATCATGTTCACATGTTAACAGCAAAATTAACTGATGAAAACAGTACAAAGGTTAAAGTACCACATGTGCTGTCAGTGAAAGCTGCAGCTGTTTTATTGATAAAGTTAAAGACAAAGAATTCATCATCCATGTCACTTTGTCACTATATATCAGCATTAACAGGATCTCAGTTTGGTTTTTCACAAAGCTGCTGATCTCAGACCTGCACAGCTT